ATTCTCGCCACCGCGACAGCGGCGCAGGCGGACTTGGCATCTACAGATTGACTGTTTGCCGCCAGGGCAGCCTGTCGTTCAGAAAATATCGCCTCAACAATCCCGTTCTCGGCTTCTTCCGCGCGCTGCTGGACAGCCGCGGCCTGATAAGACATGCGCTCCATCAGTTCTTGTTCCCGCCGACTGGCAGCTTGGGCCAGGGCGACTCTATCAGCCTCGAACCTCTTCCGAACATCGGCAATAACTGCGTTCATGTCTTCTCGATCCAGTCGAGCCTGTTCGGCCCGCTGAGCTTCTAGGACCACGGTTTCTTGCTGTCTCTTCGCCTCCATGATTGCGGCCTGATCCTGCATGGCTTGGATGAAAAGGCATTGGCAGTTATGTTCTTCCATCTGGAAGCAATCCTCACACAACTATTGATTGCCGCAATTGGGGCACACATCATAACAGTACCCACGCACTGGGCGCTTACAAGGCCCCCCCTGTTTGCGAGCTTTCCCCGGGCACCTATTTTCCGCTTGGGGCGGGCAATTAGGGCCTCGATTCCAGCGCGCCTCGCGCGTGGAAGTAGCACTGTTGCTCCTCGATGTCGATCGGGCACCAGGTCGTGGGATCTTGGGCCTTCCCCTGTGCTCTCCAGTGGCTTGGCCACCTCTCGAAGCGCCTCATCCCGCTCATCCTGTTCAACCAACTCTGGGAGTGAGGCTGGGGGATCAAACATATCATCACCCTCAACTACCGCGGGCACTGACGGCTGCCAATCGCCCGGGGCGACGGCAGCCCGGTAGAACCCCTCCTGAAGCGGGGAAGCATTCAAATCATAATCCCCCTTCTTGTGCTTCTTATATTGAGGAGCTGGCGTTCGACCCGTGGCCCCCAGGTCATGCTTTACATGAATTTGGGAACTCGTTTCGGCCTCTGCTGCCTGGGGCGGTAGAGGTGTTCCCCACGGCTCATGCACCAGTGGGGCCTCGCGGTCTAGGTCACTGATCGCGGTGTCTAGATCTGGTTCCGCAAGTGCCTTGCCAAGAACTCCCAGGTGATCGTAGTCAATGGTATCCTGCCCTGGGGGCGACATTCCGTCTGGGACGGGATGGTCAGCTGCGCTCATCAGCGGCAAAACTCGGCTCGGTGACACTTGATAATCAGCATGCTCCATGTCCGCCTCCATAGAGTTGACATCGTCTTCGTCATCAAGCTGTTCGTCGCTGTCTTGACCGGGTTGCCCGTTCAAGGCTATCGGGGCGGGGCAAGCCCCGCGCGGACGACCCCGTCCGTCTGGGGCGGCGGGGAGCGCACCGCCGGACTCCTTTACGTCTCGCGACCTACTGGCTGGGCCAGCGGCCGGCTCGATAGAACGCATGGCAATCGGACTGGGATGTATTGTTTCTGAGGACTCAGCAATCCAATATGAAAAGGCTCTTCGCCTGGCATTACCGGCTGGGCCGTTCCGCCTTATCGGGTGTGGAGTCTGTTCACGATCTCCGATCGGCATACGAGTGGGGGAATCATCTGCAGACAAATCTATGAGTTCTCCAGCACCCCTTCCACGAGAAACCCGAATGGGATTAGAAGAAGGGAGAGAGCGGCCCTCCCCTGGGCCGCTGTCCGGATGTTTTTGCCCGCCTCGATGCACATCGTGTAATATTGCGGGCATTTCGGCTGTCTCATCATAGCTCATTCCAGTTGCGACTTGGTCGCGGGCTTCGGCTGCTTACCAGTCTTTCCTCTAAGAATCGGGGTAAGATGCCAAAGGAATTAAGGTCTCACGTTTGCTACGCTCAGTGGTAAAGGATACGGAATGAGACATCGATGGAACTATATGTTGTCCGTTAAGCAACTGTGCTCAGTTATAGGAAGGGAGGAGGCCGGCTGGCCGACGCCCGGGCGCGGGCGTGTAGCGGCGCGCTCCTTTTCTCACTCGAGCAGCTAAGATATAGCTCCGGTATACAGTAATACCAATGTCAAGGTATGACAAGGCAGGCAGCAGGAGAGGCAAGTGTACGATGAGGCGGAGAGGAACAGATTCACTCATCGGGCCGCGTCGCCCGCCTCCGCCCAGCACGGCGAGGCAGGAGGGCATCAGCCCAGAGGTCGTCGAAAGGGCCGCAGTCGCCTCCAGCAAACTCGATCGCCACCTCGCGCCGCAAGCCGTCGTGCACCTCCTCGGCCACCGTGTTGACCATCTCCACCTCCTTCGCCGCCACTCCAACATCCGTTCCTCCACCGCGCCCACGCTGGTGGCGCCGCCGCCGAGGGGCAGCGGGTGGCGCAGCCGCCTCCGCCGGCGGGGCCAGGTCGGGAAGGGGGCGCCGTGAGCACGGCCACCGCCGTGAGAGAAGGCCCTCGGCGGTGCGGATGAGGCCTTGCGGCAAGGCCTCCCGCCGTCCACCCGCCAGCCCTGCTGCCACGTGCGTCGCCAGGACCGCGCCACGCGCAGCCTCCAGCGTCGCTTCCGCAGCGCGGGCACCCTACGTACCCGGCATCGGTCGGACGGCGGGCCGACGGCCCGGCGGCGTGAGACTTGAGCCAGAGCCAAGAATGGCTACGGGAGGGGGAGCGAAGGAGGGATGAGGATGCGGAAGCAGGGAGGAGAGAGGAAGAGGGAGGCGGCACGACGCCACTTCTATCTCAACGAACCCCTTGCACGGTGGACTGCGCATCAGCCAACGAGAGGCGCCCCGCGTGCCGCCCCGAGAAGTTCGGCGATCGATCTGGCCGAAGAAACCCAGGAGAAGATCAGGTTCCACGGCCCGACCGCGTCGCCGCCCACCGCCCTCGTTCTCTGCCCACTGTCCTCCTCCTCCTCCTCATCCTCCTCACCCTCCTCCCGCCACCGCTCCTCCTCCTACTCCTCCTCCTCCTCCTCTTCCAACTCCTTCTCCTCCTCCTCCTCCTCTTCCTCCTCCTCTGCTCCCTATTCCTCCTCCCCCACCCTCTCATCCTCATCCTCCAACTCCCTCACCCGTCCTCCCCCGATTATCCGAATTCATTCCCCCTTTTCCTCCGCTTCATCCCGGCAGTTCTCATCCGTCTCCTCCTCCACCTGATCCCCCTCCTGCTCCTGTCTCCTTCTCCTCTTATTATTGTTGGTATTATTAATGTTTACTCACCTTGGTATTATTCCGTATTATTATTCGTAGTACTAGTATTAGTGTTTACTGTTAGTGTTCTGATTCGTATGACTTGCAGTCCTCTGATTCACAATAACTATTATGCTTAGAATTCGTTGCATTCTTAGTCGTAGTCTTATTGTCCGATTCACCATTGCGAGTATTATCATTAGTATGAGTAGTATTTGTCGTACTGATAATATGATTATTCCTGCTACTATTATGTATTCTACTCTTCGTATCACGATTGTTATTATTAGTTTTATTACTGTCCGTAGTATTAGTATGATGATTATTCGTATTATTACTACTACTATTATTATTATTATCATCATCATCATCATCATCATCATCATCAGCATCATCATCATCATCATTATCATAATCATCATAATCATTATTATTATCATAATCATTATTATTATTAGTATTATTATTATGAGTAGTAGTATTATTATTATTTTGATGTGTAGTAATATTATCATTAATATTACGATAACCATAACTAGTCGTATCAGTATGTATTGGATTCGCCCGTTGTTGTTTTGATTACCATGCTTCAATTGATGAGTAGTGTGCTTATTATTCGTCTTCGTCGTCTTATATGCAGTATCATTACGTCGATTCGTACGACTCTTTATGAATATTACTATGCTCCTTCTGGTCATTAATATTATTCGTCCTCCGTCCTGCGTCCTCCGTCCCCTCGTCCACCGTCCCCCGTCCTCCGTCCTCTGTCATCCGTCCTCAATCCTCCGTCCTCCGACCTCCGTCCTCCGTCCTCCGTCCGCCGTCCTCTTCCCTCCGCCGTCCGTCCTCCGTCCTCCGTCCTCCGTCCTCCGTCCTCTTTCCTCCGACCTCCCTCCTTCCCCTCCTCCTCCTCCTGGACTCCTTATCCTCCTCCTCCTCCTCCGCCTCTTCCTCCTCCTCCTCCTCCTCCTCCTCCTCCTCCCCCTCCTCCTCCTCCTCCTCCTCCTCCTCATCCTCCTCCTCCTCCTCCTCCTCCTTATCCGCCCTGTCTTAGTCTTCCTCCTCCTTCTCCTCATCCTCCTTCTCCTTCTTTTTATTATTCTTCGTACTCCTCGGCCTCCTCCTCCTCCTCCTCCTCATCCTCCTCTTCCGTCTCTTCCTCTAATTCCCCTCCCCCATCCTCCTCCCCCTCCTCCTCCTCCTCCTCCTCCTCCTCCTCATGCTTTTCCTCCATCGCCCCTCCTCATCAGCTTCTTCCCTGTCCTCCCCCTCCCGCACATCATCCTCCTTCACCGCCTCCACCTCCTCCTCAGTATCCATCTCCCCCTCCTCATTCTGCTCTTCATCGTCCGCCGTCACCCCCTCCTCCTCATCCTCCTCATCCTCCTTTTCCTCCTTGTCAGATTCCCCCTCCTCCCGCTCCTCCTCCTCCTCCTCCTCCTCCTCCTCCTCCTCCTCCTCTCTCCCCTCCTCCTCCTCTTCCTCTCCTCCAAACTCCCTCCTCTCTCCCTCCTCCTCCTCCTCCTCCTCTCCTTCTCCCCCTCCTCCTCCTTATCCTCCTCCTCCTCCTCCTCCTCCTCCCCTCCTCCCCTCCTCCTCCTCCTCCTCCTCCCCGCCTCCTCCTCCTCCTCCTTATCTCCTTCTTCCTCCTCATCCTCCCCCTTCCCCTTCCCCCCCCCCTCCCCCTCCCCCTCCTCCTCCTCCTCCTTCTCCTCCTCCTCCTCCTCCTGATCCTCTTCCTCCTCCTGTTCCGCCCTCCTCCTCCCCCGTCCCTGCCAACACCTCTTCCCCCTCCTCCTCCTCCTCCTCCGCCTGTTCCTCCTCCTCCTCCACCTCCTGCCGCCCCGATCCCTCCCAGGCCTGCGACTACCCCCCACCCCCACCCCCCGAACGTTCGACGCCCCCCCCCCTCGGCGCCCTTTCTCCAGGAGGTTCTGCCCGACGCTGATCGCGCACACCTCCTCAGAATTCATGCGGGCCGCGCGCAGGGGGGATGGAACCACCACCACAGCGTAAACCCAAAACTTATACGAAAGACCGAAACTCAGGACGAAGGACCGACCAAGAGAAGGTTAAGAGGTAACTCCTGGGAAATCTTCACCAGAACGACGAAATCCTGTTACGATAATGCGTCAGTGTGAAATGTACAATGACGGTACCCGAAGGGCTGGGGGGGATGGGGGGGCCGCGTAAAAGGCAATGCGTGGGCGAGGTAGGGCACGTCGGGGCGGGGGTGCGCTGCGATCGCCATAGCCTGCGCGTGAGAGCCGCCATGGTTGGGTTCCCACCCCTCCCACGTACGATCCTTATCGTTACAAAGGGGGCGGATACAGACCGTTACGCGCCAAGGGATCAACATTACCACAACGGATGGACCCCACATGATGGTATCCGTAGTGTGAACAGAATCGCCCTCGCCGACGGCTAACGATGGTGCTGATGTCAGGTGCGAAAATAACAAGATGCGCCGTGTGGGACCTTTTTCAGATGTGTGGTCGCTGTGCGACCTGTGGGGCCTGTTGGACCCGCGGCGGGCCCCATACGGAGGGGGCTCCCGCCTGAGACTGCCTCGCTATGGCGAGGCCCCAGCTAGGGACATCCTCACAATTTGCCCCCTTGGAGCGCTCAACTTGAATGCCTGCTTCACGAATCCAATGGCCCACTCGGGTTACTAGCATGATCTGTGGGCCCCACAAGGAGGGGCTCCCGCATGAGAATTCCTCGCACGTCGCACACAAACGAAGCCCCCGCTCGAGATAGCATCGTGATGTGCCCCCTTTGGGGCGCCCAAGTGCTATGCCTGCCAGAATAAGCAAATGACCCGCTCGGAATATTCGCGTGATCTGAAGGCCCCATAGGGACGGGGGTGTCACGCCTGCGTCTTCGTCGCTGCTCACTCACAGACGAAGCCCCCGCCCGAGACATCCTCACGCTGACCCCCCTAGGGTGGCCAGACGCGACGCCTTCTACGGTAAGACAACGACCCGCTCATAATACAAACGTGATATGCGGGCCCCACAAAGTTGGGGCTCACACATGGGACTTCCTCGCGATTCACTCACAGACGAAGCCCCCGTTCTAGAAAGCAGTTCAAGTTGCGCTTGGGTTGCCCAAGTGGTATAAAGCCTGTTACTATACGCCAATGAACCGCTCGGGATGATAACATGATTTGCGCCCCCCCCCCACACACAAAAAATGGGTTCCCGCCTGAGACTTCCTCGCAATTCGTGACAAACGAGGCCCCCGTTCTACACTGCATCTCAAGTTGCCACCGTGGGGTGCTGAATTGCTATACGTGCGAACTAAGCAAATGGCCCGCCCGGAATACGAACATGATCTGCGGGCCCCATCAAGAGGCCGCTCCCGCCTGAGATCCCCTCGCAGATTATTCGCAGGCGAGGCCCCCGCGCGGGAGAGTTCCACCTCAGGGGTACTGGACCTGCTGCAGTCGGCCAATGGCCCGTTCGGATTACTGACATGGTCCGCGAGCCCAACAGGGAGGGGGCACCCGCCTGAGCGCATTCCTGCAGGTCTCACACAAACGAAGCTGCCGCCCAAGACGCCCTCACGGGTTGCCCCATTTGGGTGTTCAAGTGTTGGGATGGCTACATATGGCAATCGTGATGGGGACGAGGGTGATGATCATGGCACGATGATGAGCGGGTGGATGATGCGTGAATGCACGTGGTTGAGTGGGCGCGGGTGATGATGGTGATGGCGATGATGCTTTTGATGCGGGTGATGATGACGACGTTGCTGTTGCTGGTGTTAAACGCCATAAGGGATGTCGAAACACCGACAACCCCTCATAATCGGGAAGATTTGACGTCAAGGAATACAGTAAACAACTCATCTAAATTATGGCGGCTCCCGCCATCCTGCCCACCACATACCGTGTCCCTCGTGCGTGTTCCAACCGCATTTGTTCGTCGCGGTTCAATGATTCATTCTCTTGATCACCAAAAAAGCGATTTGGCTTTCCCGCGTCCACGGGCTAAATATCGCAAGGCCCTGTCTGCCAGAAGATATCGGGACATTATGCCGTGCAAGACGTTGGCAACTCCACTCCAAAACGCGTGACGTCGAACGACATGGATCGTAAACGTGTGCCGCGCCACATGGCATGCGTGCCTGTTCGCTCGACAAAATGCACCCGCGTCCAAATTCAGGATGCCACATGTATCCGTCAAGATCAAGAAATCCCCGATGTGGCGACGGGCATACTTCTCATGTGGTTCCCGGCTGAAAAATGCAGCCTGAGATGCTCGCGCAATGAATCAATGATTTCGCCACGGGCGCATTCGGGGCGCGCAGCTGACGAATCCATACTGCAGCTGACAACAGACCAGCATCTTGACAATTTTTCCGACTGCGTTCAATACGTTGTTTCCGAGTTCCGCTCTTCCACTCAAATGTATGACTGGCATCGGCCACGCACCATCTCAACGAATGTCTTGTTCGCGATGTCATACTCGCGGCGACCGCCTCGGCTGAAATCCACGCCCAAGCAGGAGGAAATGGAGAAGGAATAAGGCGGAGGACGGAAGGGCGGGCAGGAAAAAAACTGGGGGAGGGAAGACAGAGGAGCAGGCAGGAGGGGGGAGGGAGCGAAAGAGGGGGGAAGGAGAGGGAGCGGGGGGAAGGAGGGCCGTTGTAGGATGGGGGGGGGGGGGGGGAGGAGGAAAAAAACAGAAGACGGAGGACGGAACATGAGGGATGATGGGGGAGGGAAAAGGCAGGAGGAGGAAGGACAACGAAACGAGAAAAGGGAGGATGAGGGAAGAGCTCGGAGGAGGGGGAGGCGGGGGCGAGGCGCGGGCAAGGGGGCGGCGGAGAAGGAGGAGGGAGGGGGGGGGGGGGGCGAAAGCATACGAGGGAGGAAGGAAAAAGAGGACGAAGGAACAATCACGAGGAAGAGAACGACGACGACGACCGGCCACCTGCGAAGCCACGCGACGCATCGAAAGCTCGCACCGGGCTCGCAAATATGGTAGCCGACGCGACAGACCCGCAAGCGCTGGGCAACCCGCGATCCCAGCACCAAGCAGACTCACCCCGTGCCCCATGTGACACGAAGCCGGCACATTCGGCGAAACAGCAGCCCGAATGCCGCGCGACGACACCGCCCAGACAGGCGGCGAGCTGACATAACACCCTAACCACGTTGACAAAGAGGCAGCCCGAACCAACACATCGAAATCACGACGAACTACGACTGCCCAGCGCGTCGCCATCATGTCATCGTCGGCGCGAAAGCCACGCGAATGACAACGAGGCAAGGACGCAAAAAATCAAACGCGGCGGGCCGGGTGTTGTTTGGTCGATCTACTTCCCTGCGGTACAGAAGTCTGGATCGGACTAGTGACGGCTTCGCACTCGCCGAGTTTGAAGCGGATGCAGACGGAGCGTGGCGGATAAAGCAAGCAACGATTGAATCATGGGCGCCACGCACCTGAAATGCCTTGAGAAGGTGGCCATGCTTTTTAAACTCATAAACGGTTGGCACGTCACTGGCAACGCATACGAAGCCCAAACGTGCTTGGAGACACCGTTGCGCCAGCACGGTGATTACGAACAGGTGATGCTGTTATGGGTCGGTAAGAGACTCGCCAGAAACCTTGAAACCACCGGCGCTTCTTTTGACGGGCGCGCGGCAAGTCCAATGGAACATCAGAGTAACACTTGCGTGTTCCATGTGTGCCATCACTGAAGGTGACTAGACCTTCCTAGCGCTCCGCCTTTCGTTTCCGGCGAATATGCGCTCCAAAACAAGCTGGGCAAGTTCCCATTGATCCCAGTCTGGAAGAATCTGTCCGCATAAACTCCCCATCGATATCCTTGTTGCACAGACTGTCTGGTAGTTTTCAACAGATGAACATACATAGTGCCCTTGGTATGTCCTGCTTTCGGCGATTGGTGCTCCGGCGGCGTGCCACCGAGCGCACAATTGCTGCATTGATGTCGAGAAGAACAATGTATTGGCCCCACATGTAAACGCAGATTAATGCCCCGGTTTGCGAACGAATCGGCAATGTGTTTCTTACCCCTGGGCACGTGCTTTGATTGCGCAAAATCGAAATGCGCAAGCACTGTAGCGACAGATTCGTGGTAATCAAACCTGGACTCAAACGGGTGCCCAGAGTGCGCGGCGGCGCGCGGCGCCGATTACATGCACGACATGAGCGAAACTCCCAAATATCAGGGTCGACAGGGGATGTTTCAACTGGCCGTCCAAATTGGTGGACCTCTCCGAGGGATGCGTTGTTTTTTGTTGGGGGTGGGCGCGTTGCTCTTCAGAGTGCATGACCAGGCATCTCACTCGGCACTTCCAAAGTGCACGAAGGTTCGAACATGCAGCAGGCGTCGTACTCAGGCCTCCGACGTCCAAAAGGTGTCGACCAGCGGTATTTCACGGAGTTGGTTGCGCCCAGACTGGTGTGACCTTCCAAGCTAGAGTGCCCCATGCTCGCTGACCGCGATGTAGCAAGCATCGCACTTACGCCTCACACGGGTGCATCGACCAGAGGCGCTTCACGGCTGCAGTCGCGCTAGGTGATTGAGACCTCTCAAATAGAACGCATGATTTTAGGGATAGGCGCTTCTCTTGCCAGAGCTCCATAATCACCACAATGTAGCGGGTATCGCACTCGGCACCTCCAAGCGGAATCGACCCAGGGGGGGTTCACGGGCTCGTTCGCGCCCACTTGCGTGGGAATTGTATGTAACATGCTAGTTTTCGAGAGCGGGTCGGCGCGTTTCCTTTCAGATGCCGACGATATTTGCGACGTATCGAAGCGCTCGTAACTCTTCAGAGTGTTGTCGACTTGGGTAGTTCACGATTCCGCTCGCACCCATGCTGGCGGGACCTCTTATGTAGAATGCTCGTTGGGGTCGTAGGCGTGTCCTCCCCCTCATCCTCCTTCCCCTTGTCCTCCCCCCCTCCTCCTCGTCCACCCTGCTC